CCCCACGCAATCTATTACATTCACTCAATACAAGGATCTCCAACAATTTTGTTTACCATAGCTTGGTCGAGGCGATGGATCCTTGGTGGTTCCATGGTATGGGCTCTTCGATCTCTGGCAACCAATGACGAAAGAGATGCATCGAACAATGCTACTGGCATCAAGGGCTACTAAGATTTCTTAGTAGCGTCGTCGAGCAATGCTAATTCCAACTCTAAGAAGGATGACGACTTTGCAGTCCTTCAACGTCGACTGGTGGTATAGTCCTTCGTCGCACTGGAGTCCTTCGTGTCGACGTTGCAATCCTTCGTCATGACGTTGCAATCCTTCAACATTGACTTAGGATTTTTTGGTATGATGGTGGTGGTGAGATAGTGGTGTGGTTGGATGCGGTGGTGGTGGATATGGGTGTGGGTACTGTGGTGTTGGCGGCATGGTGATGGCACTGTCTGTATGCAGTAGTGTTTGACGAGTTATGCAGATGTGGTGGTGGTGTGTGTGCTTTGGGTGCACATTTGGTTGACATTGTTGAGAGTGATGGTAGTGACGATAAAAATTAGGCATGACCAAGTCTATCTTTATTGTGACCAAAACTATGTTAATTGTGACTGTATGTAACTTGTTTACATACAGTCACAAATTAGACTGATATGGTCACAGACGTTACAGAGAAGACAACGTTGGCCACATCTGGTCACAGATAATATAGGTCAGTGAATGTAGTAAAGTGGGTGGTAACGGTTGTAATGACGGATGGTGGATTATGGTACTGGTCTACGGTGTGTGAAAATTTGTTTGTGGTGACTCTTTGTGAGCAAGTATGTGTTTATTGTGAAAGTTGTGACCAATTTTGTGTTTATTGTGACTTGATCACATACCGTCACATTTAATACTAACTTGTTCACAAACAGTCACATTGAATATAAATTTGGTTCAGCTAGTTACATTAAATACAAATTTGAACACAACTAGTCTCAGATAACATACGTTAGTGGCTTGGAAATTTTCTGGATAGGTGTGGTCACAAACGATAAATCTGGTCACAGAAAAAATTTTGGAGATTTTTCTACAATTAAGCATAGAGAGAGAAATTATTTTCAATTTTTGGAGAATTTTCTATCGTCGAAGTCAAAACGATCGCTAGAGCAATAGTTGGAGCGATCGCTGGAGAGGTCGTCGGAGTAGTAGTCGAAGCGGTCACTAGAGTGGTCGTCGGAACAGTTTGTTGGAGTGATCGTTGGAATGGCTACTGAAGCGATCACCGGAGTGGTCGTTGGAGCAGTTTGCCGGAGCAATTATCGAAGTGGTCACCGAAGCTGATGGCCATCTTCGTGGAGAGTTGAAGGGAATGTGGTGTAATGGGGTGAGGTGGCATGATGTGGAAATAATTAAAGTATATTATATTATAATTTAATATTTAATAAATTTATTTACCACCTAATTTTTGAAATATTTTAGTAAGTTTGTTATTTATGAAATGTAATTTTTAGGACTGAGACTTATGTGTTGATCCCTAAAAATAATTAAATGGACTTATATATATTTGGTAAGATATATTAAATGGACTTGAGATAAATTAAAGGGAAAAAATCGTATACACCTTGCATATATAAAAAAAAATAAATAAATAAAAATTCATATTTTACTATTATATCAAATTAAAAACAGAAAAACTACAAAATCAAATAAAAATATCAAAAGTACTATAATATAAACTTTCTTTAGTTTTATCAGTAATTGAAACATTATACGAGATTCAAAATGGATGAATTAATAGAATATGCTAAACATATGCGCATTCAAAGGATTAATAGAAACTTTTCTCAATTTTACTATTGTATATTACTTGTTGCAGGACATGGTTCTTGCTATTGCAAATCCAAAGGAGCTAAAATTCGAGGAAAAACCATTGAAGTCTCTTAATGACAATAGCAGGTATGTGGTTGCCGAGATACAAATAGGAAATCGTATCTGTGATACACTCAATTTATATTCATTTTTTCCAAAATTTTCATTTTTCATGTGTCTGCTTCAGTACACTGTTATTCACAGGAAAACCAAGGCCTTCTGATCAAGTGTATCTCACAAGATCTAGGATTTTTTGGGGGCAAACCAATTGCAGCTTGCGTTATTTACAAGTGTTGATGCATTTGTACAGTCCGAACTTGACAGCTCGACTAACACTCTCCTCACAAGGGTGAGGGGCCTGATCCCAATAAAATAATGCACGGGCCTGGCCCATGTGAGTATGATGTACACCAGGCTGTCAAACTCGATGTACTTATAGCATGATTCTATTTACAAATATTCTTTTATTGAAGGTCTTTTGAGGTTGAAAAGACTACTGTATTTCAAAGAATAATTCAATCTGTAGCTTTAGCTATTGAGATAAAGTGAATAGTAGTAGAAATTATTGATGTTTTGTGTAGTAGCTGTTTATTTGACCAGTTGAATGAATCAGACATTTTGTGTGATGGGTTCGTCTCCAAATGCATATCTATGTAGCATCACCGAATCTGAATTCTTCCACTATCTTTAAACGATTCTTATCCGTCTGTGACTAAATAGTGAATATGTACTTTTAATGATTTTGTTATGTAAACATGAATACATTCACAGCCCATTTGGGAGTGATTTTTTGATCCAAAAAATTAATTTTTTGACCGTTATTTCACTATTTCAACTGTCATATTTGACTTCTTCTCTCACGGGTGGACCTCACTTTTCTCCTAACAGTCAAAAAATCAATTCTCAAAATCACTTCCAAACAAGCTCTCAAAGTTAAAGATATAGATACACAAACCCATAATGTAATAAATTATGTCGTATAATAAAGGTGCATTAGATTTACAATGTTTCCATACGGTGGACAATAAGATTACACGACGATTTACGCATTCAGGTGCGGGGCTAGTTACCAAAAAAAAAAAAACAGAGAAAAGGGAAGAAAAATAAACTGGAATGGTTCTCAAATAGAAAAGCATACAAACGCATGATAGTGTCATTGCATAGTGACACGATGACATAGCTTGTTTTTTGGACATACCAAAATCAATAACAAAGTCTTGACAGAGTATAATGAAACATTAAACATAAACAAATTCTGCCCCTTGTAACTAACTGTTTCAGCTACATTACAAAATCCAAAAAAAATGATTCTACGTATCGACAGTATCACAATGCCCTTCAACCTCCTTTCTCACCTTATGCAACGCGGTACTAGGTTGAAATTCATATCATATGCTTCAATCACCTTCTCACATCCATTTTGAAAAGTCCAATAAACACGTTTTTCTACACTATAACGTCAAAAAACTCCCACGTTCATCCAAACAACCCTCCAAACGTAGCTCACTTACCATATTAGTCTTAGCCACAACATCCTTCACGGGCATCATATTGTAAAGACTCCTAGCCTCATCAATTCTATGGTAGTGAATCAATCCATCTAACATCATCGTCCGCGAGACCACAGTCTTTTCTGGCATTCACCAAAACAAAGCTTTTGCCTCAAAAACCATCCCCTCCCTCCTCAACATAACCTCTAGTCATGGCTGTCCATGACACCACATTTCTTTCAAGCATTCAAATATCTGTCTAGCTTCCTTTACCATCCCATTTTTTATGTACCCAGAAATTAATCCATTCCAAGAAATAGTGTTTCTCTCTGGCATTCGATCAAACAAAAGTTGGTCTTCACGCGGTTGGCGGTTTTGAAAGTAGCCTAAAATTATAAAGAGACGTTTTTGTGAGGAAGTTGATCGAATAATTTCCCTGCACCGTCAATTTGGCCCAAACGTGGATAATGGGAAATCTTTCAGAAGAAAAGTTTCCAAATCTAAACACAGAAAAAATATTGAATTAAATTAGTTTGACAGAAAAAGAGTGGCATGCGGTTTAACCTCCTATCACATGTTGTTGGGACTTGCATGA